CTCTCTCAATGTTCTTCAGCACCTCCCCTTCGAATGTCTCATGCGCTTTGTTCCCCACTCACAACTTCCCATCCCCAGTTGTTCTTTGCTAATAGTAGGAGAGCCCAAAACACAGCCTCCAGTAGCTTCAAAAATGTACTGAAAATCACGAATCCAGTGATGCATCAGACAGCCATGATGGATGTGAAGCATGAGGTCATACTGGTGAGGAAATTTCTCCTTCATCTCTGGTATTATTGGACACGGGACGCCAGGGGCTGCCGGGAGGAGTCGAGCTCGCCAAGAGGTGCTTCTGCTGAATTCTCAAAAGGTTGAATCAAAAGATTGTTGATTGTTGTTGTCACATCCGAATCCTTTAGAACCTGTACAAAGAAATTGAACATTAGTGTTATTTTTTATCTCAAAAGAGACAATTATATTATATTGTACTTACATAACTGGTAAAGAGACTTCGGCAACATTTTTTAAAACCTTATATAATATATATAGCCAGAACCCGGTCTAATATTACCCAAAACTCATTCACTTTCGCATGATTCATTAATTTTTATCTCAACATCACACCCCTTAGCCAAAAATGAGACCAACGCCTGCTAAATGGTAAATGAAGATCTCTCGAATAACCAAGGATGAAGATCCAATTACTGGCTGTGTACTTCATTTTAGTTTTGTTAATTGATTCTTTTAGGGAAGGGGTTTGAGGAGTCCCAGGCGGGATGAGCACTGCCTCCCGCACTCCATCGGATAGAAGGTATAGTAGCACAAAATAAATTCTACTTGATGCATTTTGAACTACTAGGGGGGCACTTTGGCAAGTTTTGTTGTGTTCTGTTGATGTGGATAGAGCAGACAAAAATATCCATGTACAAAATTTAAGTGGTTTTTCGTAATGAATTATCTTTTTATTGTTCACCTACGAGAAATTCTAATTTCATCAAAATCAAATGCTATATAGCTGTCGCGATACCATTGCAAAGATCTCTGAGTAATTTTTTTCTTCAGTTTACCTTTAAAATCGCCTATACTTGCACAATTTTTTTGTGATGGCTGTTGATAATCAAAAGGCTTTTTGCTCAAAAATAAGGATTTCATTTGTGAAGGTCATGCATTTCGTACATTACGTACATGGTCTTAAAATACGACTCATCTACATATCATCAAGTAAACCCTTTACTCATCGTGCATTTATCTTCCACTACCCGTAATCGTTAATAATAATGTGTCAGTATCCCCAGAGCACTTCAAATAGCGTTTGTCGCCCACACTCCCACTTGTTTGTTTGGAAAAGCGTTTATGTATCACTTCCAGATACTATTTCCCTCTCTCTACAACTTGTATAAAGGTCATGTCTCCTTCGGATGTTTAAAAAGTGGAAACTAAAGTTCTGCAAAAAAGATTGGCAACTTACTTCAGCTTCTCGAAGTCCAGATAACACCGTTCACCTTCAGAGAGAATGAATTTGACCTACAATCTGTGCTGGCTTGTAATCCCTTTACAGTAAACTTCTCTCCCCAAGACTTCAAGCATGTACTCAGTGTTCCATGACATTTGTAAGGAACACGGGATCAGCATTATACGTGTCAGCAAAGCCAAGTTTAACCTATACTTCAGCATACGTTTTGCTTGCCCCTATTGCGGTGTCATATAACGTTCCTGTGTTCAACACGGTTATCCTTCAGCATGAAAAGTGACATTTGCAAAATTCATAGATACTTTGACAAATAACACCATCATCTCTGAATTCCCTTTCAGTTTTAAAAACATTGTTATTACTTGGGAAAATAAAATTGACATCGGAAACCAAGACACTAAACGTAAATCGACACGCGTCGTGGTAGTGTAAAGGTCCTGTTACTATTTCTCAATCATTTTAGCTCTTTCCATAAATAATTTCGTTTTTCTCACAGGCAAAAAGCTGAACACGGGATAGTCTAAATATCCACCAGGTTCATTCAGGCCAGGAAGAATGAAAAAAAAAACGAGTGAAAAGAAAAAGAAAATCGTTCAGATAGGGACAACTCTTAGAGAACACCTGAGCAGAGAAATCCTCCATGAATCTGTAAATTCGTAACAGTGACACAACCACTACATATTCTTTGATTTGCTTGCGTATCTATCTGAAAACGCTTGAACTGTAAAAAGGTAAAATGTCAATTTGTTTTCCTTGCTGAAATATGAACATTTCTGTTGGATACCAATTGCAAACATATTTTTAGCATATGAGTGGAGAGATTCAATTCTCGACTAATTTAATTTTAGTGTATTTGTCTTCTATGATAATATATATATAATATATATAATATATATATATATATATATATATATATATGTGTGTGTGTGTGTGTGTGTGTGTGTGTGTGTGTGTGTGTGTGTGTGTGTGTGTGTGTGTGTGCGTGTGTGCGTGTGCGTGTGCGTGTGTGTGTGTGCGTGTGTGTGTGTGTGTGTGTGTGTTGTGTGTGTGTGTGTGTGTGCTGTTGTTGTGTATATATATATATATATATATATATTATATATATATATATATATATTATATATATTTATATATATATAATATATATATATTATATATTATTAATATATAGTATATTATATATATATATATGTTTTAGTATTGTACGCCGCCACATTCATATTATATACCTACTGATAAAGAGTTCCTTTATTTAAGCTAACTAACCAGACTCAGAAACAATGGAAATGCATTATCATATTCTTCCTATTTATCCGACTCGCTGTTAGAATGGACTAGGATACCAAGGAGTTTTATTTTTTTATTTTTTATTTTTATTGTTTTTTAATTCTATTAATTAATTATAATAATAATAATAATATAATAATATAATAATAATAATTAATTGTTATTATTATTATTATTATTAATTATTTATTATTATCTATTATTAATTGCTCTATATCCCCTCTTTTAGATGTTTTGTTGGATAAAACTTACCAGAAAGTCCAGCTGGGGATCGAGCGCTTCACACACCCACAGCGTCCCTTCCCTCCAGCGGAAACATGCTCTGAGGGGACTAATTTTCCTGTCGAGTGAGAGAAAACATGATTAATCCTTTAAATCACTGATCAGCTTATGCAGATTTACAGGTGTATTTCCCATACCAAAAGGAAGGAGAAGGTGAACACTGATGGAGCGCCTATTACTCTCTGAAAGATTCCTGGGGCTGAGTACCTGTGGAGGTGCTTGAGAGCCTCCTCGAAGTGGGCCGGTTCAAGGGGCAGACAGCTGTTGATGGTGAGGCAGCCGAGCAGGTTCAGCTGAGCGTATTTCGCGGCCACGTCTAACCTCTCGATAGTTCCTCCCGCCGGATGCAGCCACAGGACTCCGTTCTCGGCGCTCTTCGACCTGAAGTTTTTGTTTCCCCACGAGAAATGCTGGTTATAAAATGGCTGGGAAATGGCATGTAACCTAGAACAGCGATTGTAGCAACGAGCACAAGTAGGATACTTGTTATGGCATATAATATGCATTGGTATTTTGCTCTAATCGATTGATTTGCCTTAACAAAGCGGCATTATTTGCATAATCATGAACCAGACTGCATTGCTGAAATCATCTACAAAAAAGAACGATTGCCAGACCAGCTGTGACTCACGCGGCGTGGCTGAAGCGTGGCGCGCGCGAGGGGCCGGCGAGGCAGCGAGGGAGACCGTGCGAGGCTGCCGCAGGAAGGCGAGGGAGCAATCTCTTCGTCGCCAGCATTTTGTCTGAGAGAAACGAAATAGGGATCTGCAGAGGAAACTAATACCTTTTGTCCTTCCCTTTCACTTTACAGAGCCATTTACACGAGGCTCAGCGAGTCAATGAACTTTTAGTCTATATAACACTTATCATCCCACATGCTTGCACCAGACCGTAAAAATACATGCAGTGCAAAGGTTCCGAAAGCAGAAAATTGAAGTCGATGATGCACTCGATAGACGAAAGAAAATCAACATGCTTACTTTTTCTTAAGTACGAGTGAAATAACTCAGTGAGACTAAACTGCATACGTACTGTAAATGAAGGGTCAGTTTCACAAAGTCAATTAGATCATCTGTTTGGTATGTTGCCTATGTCATTTACCTAGACCCGGTGTTCCCAACCAAGGAGCCATGGCCCCCAGAACAACATGAAATAACCATAGAACAACATTGAAAATTATGACGTCGAATTTGACCTCACCTACAGTACCTAGATATAATTATCTCTCAAATATCAATACGCTGGAACCTTTTCTTTTGTGTTCTTGCCGTATAGCTTCTGACACCATTACACTATCCCTAACTAGTGGTAACTGAATCTGAAAAGTAGCAGTCACTGAACGGGGCCAAGGAGGTACTTATGTATCATTTTTTGGTCGGGGCCACAAAATGAAAAAAGTTGGAAGCCACTTATCTCGACAGCGATAAAAGATATGACTCGACATTTCTTTATTCATGTCTTTTTTTCTATTTTTTGTTATAATAATCATGTTGCTTACGGCACTACGTTTCCGATAATTTTTAGATAAAATTTCCTTTTTATGAATATGATTATAAGCATAATAAACAATATCCACCTTTTTGATGCGAAACAATAGACCCCGTAAAATTCCTTAAATTAAAATCATTATTTGTAATTAGAAAAAAAATAAATATTCGAAAAATAAGACAGTTACCTCGCGCTTCAAACTCAACAGCGAAACTGATAGCAGAATCTCCTCTCACTGAGTGATTAGATAGAAACATCATTATAAGCATTATCACCGAGAGTAGCATTACATTCTTATTCTTAATCCTGTCATAGGTCGTCAGCTTTTGCGATCTGTGAGAGAGAAGAAATGAGAGGAGAGGTAAGAAAAAGGGAGAGGGAAGGAGAGGGAAGGAGGGAGAGGAAACGGGAGGGAAGGAAGGGAAGAGGAGGAGGAAGCGGGAGGGAAGGAGGGAGGGAGGATAGGTGAGCGAGGGAGCGAGAGAGAGGGAGATGGTGCGGGAAGGAGGAAGAGAGAGAGAGAGGGAGGGTG